AATAAATAGGAGTGATGTTTTGCCCTACCTGACGTGTTACCATACTGAATACTCAGTACCGGTACCCCCCCCCCCCCAAAAAAAAATTATCGCCCGCCACGCGGGGACCAAAACAAAGCAAAAAAACAAACAATGAAATAGAGAGCTGGTCATGAATGTGTCGCCCGCCACGCGGGGACCCGGGTTCAATTCTCGGCCGATGCACTTTTATATTTATCAGATGGACAAATAATTAACACAATAATTATGTGTCCTTTGTATACAAAAAAAAACAACTGGTTTAACTGAATATATATATTTTTTCAATCTCAATAAAAAATGACCCACGGCCGTGGTTCAAATCCTGTGGGAGAACGGTAGTAGCATTAATATTCTGACCAACTTCCCATTGTATTTTAATTGTAATAATAATAATAATAGTAATAAATAAATAGGAGTGATGTTTTGTCCTACCTGAGGTGTTATCATACTAAATACAATACATCCCCCAAAAATCGCAAGTGATTCGGGTGGGAATTGGACACGCGACCTCCAGATAACTGACCAGTTGTCATAACCACTACACCACCGAGCTTGCGCTTTGTGACTAGTGTTTAATCCGATCCCCAATTTGCAATGGTATTTCGGTGTGTGTGCTCGAAAAAAAAAATCGATTTCAGTTTAAGTTCACGGATACTACATTGCATCGAATATGACGTGGAAGCATCGGTGGTTCAGTGGTAGAATTCTCGCCTGCCACGCGGGGGACCCGGGTTCAATTCCCGGCCGATGCAATTTTTTATATTTTACAAATACATAATAACACAAAATGTGTCGGTTGTATAAAACCAAACAATTGTTTTTCACTTAATTGTTTTTTTTAAATATCATTCTAAAATGATTTGCATGTACATTGAAACAGGATCATAATACAAGTACTTCGTTGTAAGCATCTAAAAGTTCACGCATACTACATTGGATCTCATAGAGACTTGGCATGAAAGCATCGGTGGTTCAGTGGTAGAATTCTCGCCTGCCACGCGGGGGACCCGGGTTCAATTCCCGGCCGATGCAATTTTTTTTTATATTTAACTAATAGATAATAATTAACACAAAATGTGTCCGTTGTATAAACAAAATAATTGGTTTTCACTTAATTGCTTTTTTTTAAAAAATCTCATTCTAAAATGATTTGCATGTACATTGAATAAGTACCGTACTTCATTGTAAGCATCTATAGCCTATTTCTCTAAACAATAATAGTTGCATTTTGGTGGTTCAGGTGCTTGCCTTCCAATTTCAGAATCCTGGGTTCAACTCCTGTGGAAGAACAGTAGTTTACTAATATTCTGACCAGTACTCAGTATAAAAAATAAATAAATAAATAGCAGTGATGTTTTGTCCTACCTGACGTGTTATACTGAATACTCAGTACTTCCCCTAAAAAGTGATTCATGTGGGAATTGAACCCACGACCTCCAGATAATGAATACCAGTACCCAGATATTGGCCCGGTGTCATAAACCACTAAAACCAGGTTGCGTTTGGTGACTTACTAGTGTTGAATTCGAACCCCAAGTAGCAGAGTGTACTGCGAATGGTACTTCGATGCGTGCTTAAAGCTGCTCAAAGTTCACAAATACTATATTGCATCTCATCGAATATTACGTGGAAGCATCGGTGGTTCAGTGGTAGAATTCTCGCCTGCCACGCGGGGGACCCGGGTTCAATTCCCGGCCGGTGCAATTTTTATATTTATTAAATAGACAAATAATTAACACGATATGTGTCCTTTGTATACAACAAAACAACTAGTTTAACTGAATATATATATATTTTTTCAATCTCAATGAAAAATGACTCGCATGTACGAGTACATGGTATTCAATTAGAATTCATGTTTCAGATGCTTGCCTTCCAATGTTAGGGCCCTGGTTCAAATCCTGTGGGAGAACAGTAGCATTAATATTCTGACCAGGTTCCCATTATAATTGTAATAATAATACATTAAGGATTTTAGTTCGGAAGACCTGCCAATTTGTTTGCTTAGGAAGTATGAGAAGATATCCCTACGCTTCATTAAAGCTGAATTGGATTATCATTTTTTACACAATTGTAAAACGTTCAGCATTTTCCCAAAATACATTAATAATAATAATAATAATTAATAAATAGGAGTGATGTTTTGCCCTACCTGACGTGTTATCATACTGAATACAGTACATCCCCCAAAAATCGCAAGTGATTCGGGTGGGAATTGGACACGCGACCTCCAGATAACTGACCAGTTGTCATAACCACTACACCACCGAGGTTGCGCTTTGTGACTAGTTTAATCCGATCCCCAATTTGCAATGGTATTCCGGTGTGTGTGCTCGAGAAAAAAAATCGATTTTAGTTTAAGTTCACGGATACTACATTGCATCGAATATAACGTGGAAGCATCGGTGGTTCAGTGGTAGAATTCTCGCCTGCCACGCGGGGGACCCGGGTTCAATTCCCGGCCGATGCAATTTTTTATATTTAACAAATACATAATAACACAAAATGTGTCCGTTGTATAAAACCAAACAATTGTTTTTCACTTAATTGGTTTTTTTTTATATAAATATCATTCTAAAATGATTTGCATGTACATTGAAACAGGATCATAATACAAGTACTGTACTTCGTTGTAAGCATCTAAAAGTTCACGCATACTACATTGGATCTCATAGAGACTTGGCATGGAAGCATCGGTGGTTCAGTGGTAGAATTCTCGCCTGCCACGCGGGGGACCCGGGTTCAATTCCCGGCCGATGCAATTTTTTATATATTTAACTAATAGATAATGATTAACACAAAATGTGTCCGTTGTATAAACAAAACAATTGGTTTTCACTTAATTGCTTTTTAAAAAAAATCTCATTCTAAAATGATTTGCATGTACATTGAATAAGTACTTCATTGTAAGCATCTATAACCTATTTCTCTAAACAATAATAGTTGCATTTTGGTGGTTCAGGTGCTTGCCTTCCAATATCAGGATCCTGGGTTCAACTCCTGTGGAAGAACAGTAGTTTACTAATATTCTGACCAGTACTCAGTATAAAAAATAAATAAATAAATAGCAGTGATGTTTTGTCCTACCTGACGTGTTATACTGAATACTCAGTACTTCCCCTAAAAAGTGATTCCTGTGGGAATTGAACCCACGACCTCCAGATAATGAATACCAGTACCCAGATATTGGCCCGGTGTCATAAACCACTAAAACCAGGTTGCGTTTGGTTACTTACTAGTGTTGAATTCGATCCCCAAGTAGCAGCGTGTACTGCGAATGGTACTTCGATGCGTGCTTAAAGCTGCTCAAAGTTCACAAATACTATATTGCATCTCATCGAGTATTACGTGGAAGCATCGGTGGTTCAGTGGTAGAATTCTCGCCTGCCACGCGGGGGACCCGGGTTCAATTCCCGGCCGATGCAATTTTTTATATTTATTAAATCAAATAGGCCTACATATTAACACAAAATGTGTCCGTTGTATAAAACCAAAGAACTGGTTTCACTGAGTCTTTTTTTTAAATCTCATTCGACTTGCATGTACATATTGAATCAGGATTCAATATAGAGCTTTATTGTAAGCATCTATTACTATATTTTGTAAACAATAATGGTTGCATTTCGGTGGTTCGGGTGCTTGCCATCCAATTTCAGGACCCTGGTTTAAATCCTGTAAGAGAACAGTAGTTTAATATTCTAACCAGTTTAGAAACCAAAAACAAATAATAACAAATTACAGAGGGCGGGATATAAACAATTTTAAGACATTGGTAGTGTTTTTGAATTTTGTATTTTAAGTCTCAAAAAATAAAAAGAAATTATTTAATAGGCTAATATGTAAATGATAAAGAATGTCTTTGGAAATGCATTTAAAGTTGCTGTATTTATAAGAACGATAATGATTCTTATTCTATCTAGACTGCAGTTGTATCGTGAGCACTTAACTCCAGTGAGACTAAACATCCTCCTTGCTCCATTCTTTGCACTTTTATAATAACTATTTTACGTACTTGGTTTCAGTTGGTACGATTGTTTTGAGTCAGATTTTGAAGATGAAGAGCTTTTGCCTAATCAAACATGGAAAGGTAAATCGAAAAAAGTGTCCTGTTTTTACTGACTAGGCGTCTGTCAGCTTAGTGATTATTTCTTAATACATTTACCAGGTATTTACAAATTAAATAATAGCCTTTATAGGATGTGGTAAGGAAATATGCCACCAGAGAATTTGAATGTTAAATTTATGGCGCATGTCTAAGTTAATTTCTGATTTCTTTCATTCTAAGAGTATGTTGCCAAACAGGTGAACGAGGCAGAAAGAAAACGGGTGTCACAAAATTTAGCTCTTTCTGCAGTTCAGCAACGACTCCTGTTCCTCGCTCACAAGAAAGCCGCTCAGCAGAAACCCAGTACATCATCCACACAAGCCTCTTCAAATCATGGTTGCAACAAGGACGCCACAGGTTACATACAACCAAATGATAAGCGGGAGAAGGGATCGAATATCTTCAAGCAACACAGTAGCTCTCTGAGGAGCACTAGTTATACAAAACCGAATGATAAGCAGGAGGTAGGATCACATGTCTTCGGGCAACACAGTAGCTCCCTCTGGAGCACTGACACTGGTTCTGCCAACAACGCTACCAACAGTTGTGTCTGGTCGCATGGCAGCCAATCAGAACGTGTGGCGCGTGACACAGAAGCAGTTCAGTCCTGTCATGCAGTAACGCAATGTCGAGAAACATGTGACACAGGACCCAGAATGCTGGATAAAGCAAATGATCCAATGAAAAGTAAGCAGAGGTCACATCGAAACCTGTTGCTCCAACCTTCCGACCAAACCGAACATCGGGTGCAAGCTTTGTGGAATTTTGAACCTGGTCAGCACGACGAACTCGCACTAATGAGAGGTATTCTGCAAAAATTTTTATTTGGCATTTACCGCTTCCATGAAATGGTTTTTGAATCGCAATTTGTTTAATAGGCCTACTTACGGTATCAATTGACTTACTGTTTTTTAATCTGTTTATTTCGTGTTCAGGTGAAGTTTTCTTTCAACTTGGCCAGACCAACGATGATGGTTGGGCGTACGGTCGTATCGGCAGCAGGACTGGTCTCTTTCCAGCTGGTTACGTCCGACTACTTAAACCTGAATACATTTCCACAAATGTGACATCGACTATTCCAGTTGGTTCGTCAGAATCCATAAACAATAATTAGTTGTTACCGATTACGACACTGTTTAATACAATTCATTTGAAATGAAATCGTCTACTATCCAGCCTATATATTTATGCAAATAAAACAATTATAATATATGCGTGTTTATGCATTTGCGTATCTTTGGGGGCGTGGGGGAACGCATGCCCTCTAAATAAGCTTCCACCTTCTAGCCCCCACCACACTGGAAATTTTCTGAGCAAAGGAAATTTATCTAGCCTTCAGCACTGAAATGGGAATTATCGCTCGCCAGGCGGTGGACTCGGGTTCATTTCCCAGCAGATGCACATATATTACTTTTTTATTATTTTGGTATTTTGAATTTGCAATTATGTTATAATTTCTTCTAATAGTGTAGTTTTCAACGTCTGTTTGTTTATATGGAAATCAAACTTCAATAAAATAGGCACTGGTTAACTTTGAGAAGTTACATTAGGGAATGACATGAATAAACTTAAAAAGAAACTGACCGTCATTTTGCTTTGCAATTTACCTAAAACTTCGCACATGACCAACAAGAGCTGCCTTATTCTTTCGCCTCTAATCCACCTTCTCTTGAATTTAACAATACCATATAAATTTCAATCTAAAAAAGAGGTTTGTGTGGGAGTTGTACCCGGAATGTCTCACACCCTAATGGGACCCAGGACTAGCCATATTAATAATGTTATATGCTGAAACAAATACATGCTGATAAAGCCACTATATAAAAAAAGAACGAACCATGATGCAATCAATCAATCAATCAACATATATGTTGTATTTGTGACAAGTGTGACCATGGCACTCTGGTCGATCGCTGATGTGGTTTGTACGTCAGTAATTATAAATGATTGTAGGATGAGCCGAATTAATGTTCAGAACCTGTCCAAAAT